ATTAGACGTCAATATGTTAACCACGTATTCTATGACCCAAAATAAGGATAAAAGTTCATATAAACTACTGTCCAAAACGTATTAGTTTTTAAAATACAGGGTGTTAAATTTGAAGTGATGGCGATTTTTTGAAAATATTTTCGTAAATATTTTTAAATAAAAATTTGGTACAGTTACTAAACTTTTTAGGTTCTATTTAACGAACTAGTATTAGATTGTGTTCAGGGGTGGGTAACACTGGGGGCGCGTGGGAAAATTTTGCCCCAAATTTTTTGTCGAATTTTCGTAATTTTGAGTGCAGAATTTGAAAATCTCAAGTTTTATACGTAAATAAAGTACCCTTGTCACACCTCGCAAGAACATACCGTTCTCGAGAAAAATGCTTTTGGAAATTTAATTACAAATTATTTTTTTTATTTTAATGTTTACAATCGAGTAAGCTTTGGAAGTTAATGACTCGCTTCATTTGTTTGCGTTGCTGGGTAAATAAAAATTAAATGTCAATTATTCGACAGCTTCCAACTTTGTTCATTGTGGGTAAAAAATAGTTTTTACTTGGCTTGTTTTTATAAATCCTTTTATTAACGAAAGACAAATCAAACTACCAACTGTAAAGGCAAAGTCGAGCTCTACGGCTACTGAAACTTCGAAATGGTTTTCTCGAATTTGATTTCCTGCCATACGTATCCTTTTGCGCAACATCTCCTCGCTAGCGACTTCTGTTGCACATACTATATCTCTTCTACGACCCCAAAAATAGTAATCTAATGGATTCAAATCCGGGGAACGAAGAGGCCGCGGAATAGGACCACCTCTTCCAATCCATCTGCGCCGGACCGCTCGTTCAGCCAGTTTCTAACATTAACACCGTAATGAGCTGGTGCTTCGTCTGGCTGAAAATGAAGCTGATTTCGGACATTCAATGGAAGATCGTCTAAAATATTGTCAACATGAGCTTCTAAAAAGTTAAGGTACTCATTTGCATTAAGCGTTACTGGAAGAGTGTGCCGTTTAATATCCCCGCCCATACATTAACAGAAAATCTATTTTGAAAATTTCCACGTCGCCCACCTGAGAATTTTCGTGTGACATGGGGATTGTGAATATTAAAAACACCATCTCTTGTAAATACACACACATAATAAAAGAAACGAGTTCCTCCAGGTTTCTTATCCACTAGCTAAACTACATTCCAAATTGTTGTAGAACTAACAATCAAAATAATCAATTCTTTAAGACATTTAAAAAAATGTTTCAATGCTAATTTTCACCTAATCGTCGTAGAGCAAGGTAGTGCGTCGTGTCACCGTCCCGTCGGAGTGGCGCTTTAAAAACATGTTAATTTAGTTACACGCAAAACGTTAAAAAGTTATGTGAACGGTATCATTTAATTTTTTTATCATGATTTTGAAGCACCTTTTACGGCAATGCTTATTTGGAAAATAACCTTAATGCTAACGCATTATAAGAGAGTGATTTTTGAAAAGATAGGTTAGGTTATTTTCACTAATCATAGAAAAATATCTCTCCGTAAACGAAATGCTGCCTACCCCAAACGAAATCCTGGATCCGCCCCTGAATTAATTTAACAATAGCAGTTGTAAAATTGTAAAATAATAGAAAAATGATATTAATTCCTATTGATCGCGGTATTCCCCAGAGTATGGAAACAGTTCGTATACTCCTTCAATTAAATTAAGTGCGTCTTCCAAATTATAATTTCCCTGCGATCCTCCCTGTCCACGATTACGTTCAAATGATCCACGCTCAACTCAATGCCTATGCGTAATAATAAAAACCCGGCGATCAGGTACTGGACGATTAGGAAACCTACGATACTTTTGTACCGCCTCCCCAGCTCTGCCATTGCAAAAGCCGTATTTAAAATCAATATCTGCTAATGCTCTATTTGAAAACAACTCAATCAAATTTAACAACATTTGTGTTAGCCACCCCTAAAGAGGGGTGGGTAACACAGGGGGTTTTAGTTCCTTAAATAGAGCCTAAAAAGTTTAGTAACTGTACCAAATTTTATTTAAAAATATTTACGTGTTTCAAAAATATTGACAAAAAATCGCCATCACCTCTTCAAATTTATTTATGTTAAAAACTAAGACTTTTTGGACCATAGTTTATATGAACTCTTATTATCATTTTGGGTCACAGAATATATGGTTAAAATATTGACACCTAATTGCGGGACACCCTGTATTATTGTTCTTTTAACACAATTGAAATTATAATTGGTTCACAAGATTAATATTATATAGGATGATCTAGTGCTGAGTAGAGATTTAAGAGACTAGATTGGGAATATGTGGCAAATACAACACGAAGTACTAGCAAGTCGCTCGTATATATTTAGTCACTTATATGTATTAATAAAAAATCCTACACACCTATGGCAAAATGTAGGGTGGGTCTATTGAGTCTATTATATAAAGTCTTGACATTTTGGTGGATGCTCAAGAATTCGTTGTATTTGCATACAAGTCATTAAAATTTGCCATTTCGCTTAAAATTTGACGACACATAATAATAGATTTTATAATATATTTTAAACAAAATTACAAATAATTGAACAGTAACGAAACGGTCATGGTAAACAATGCATTAAGGGTTATTTGTCTCCTTTTTCTTCTGTACAATAATTGCATAAAGGTTGTCACAGTTGAAGCTCTGGACACTACGTTTGTGCTGCTAACATAATAAAATTTATAACAAATTGAAATTCCATAAATTAATCAATTAAATCTAAAAAATGTAATTTTTTAATTTTGTAATTTAAGATTTTTGAACTTGGATTTACATGTGTCCGTAACATTGTGTTTTCTACATTCTACATGTAAAGTAATTTTCGGGAACTGTATAGACACAGTGTAATTTGTGCTTGTTGGATACACAAGGAAGGCCCTAACATTACCGAATTGCTATTTAAAAATGGGGACCCTATGCATATGATAAAGTATTTTCAATGCAGCATTAGCTTAAATCGGCTTGCAGTGAAAAATTTTGCTAATACAAGTACTGGGACACCTTGTTACCAGAATAAAAAAAATGTTAGCGTCTTAGTACACGTGGAGTATTGTTTTGTTTTCTAGCCAAATATCTTCGCAACTGAGGCCGGAATTTCTCACTATACTCCAATTTAAGCGGATACCGCCACTCTGAAGTAATTTGTACTGCAATCATATCGCTCTATCATTTGTAGAAAGCATTTTATTAGATTCAAGCCTTACTTAAAAATAAAAATTCTACGGCATTTATAAGTATAATTTTATAGTTAATGAAAAATTGATTTTAGGCTTTTGTTTTTCCTCCCTGGCTTACTATTCATATTCGGAGTGCCCCTGCAATTCCATTTTTTTTTGTTATTAGTCTAATACATATTGTTTTTGTAATTTCAGGAACCAAAAAAACTTTTGTGATTTGAAAATTATACTGTGAAGAAATATTTATTACTGAATTTTGGAAAAAAAATTAAACATCGGTGTAATAAGGTATTTTTTCTTTGATATTTTATGGTAGGAATAACCGCCATCGAGCACAGGAATTGGATCTGTGTCCATCCACTTTATGGAAGATTTTGCGGAAGGATCTTGGTTTACGTGCTTACAAAATCCAACTCGTGCAAGAATTGAAGCCAAACGATCATCAAGTAAGGCGTAGATTCGCCGAATGGGCCTAAAACGAGATTGCCGTTGTTCCCGATTTTCATAAGCGAATTTTGTTTAGCGATGAAGCGCACTTCTGGTTGAATGGCTACGTCAACAAACAAAACTGCCGCATTTGGAGCGAAGCTAATCCTCAAGTGTATATCGAAACACCGTTACATCCAGAAAAACTGACTGTTTGGTGCGCTTTATGGGCTAGTGGAATCATTGGTCCATACTTCTTCAAAAACGATGATGGCCAGAATGTTACAGTCAATGGTGATCGGTATAGAGCTATGATTACTAACTCTTTCATTCCTGAATTGAATAACCATGATGTCCAGGAGATGTGGTTTCAAAAAGACGGCGCAACATACCACACAGCTCGTGCCACAATCGATTTATTGAAAGACACGTTTGGTGACCGCCTAATTTCACGTTTTGGACCTGTGAATTGGCCTCCAAGATCTTGTGATTTAACACCGCTAGATTACTTTCTGTGGGGCTACTTAAAGTCATTGGTCTATGCGGATAAGCCACAAAGGCTTGACCATTTGGAAGACAACATTCGCCGTGTTATTGCCGATATACGGCCACAAATGTTGGAAAAAGTCATCGAAAACTGGACGTCCAGATTGGACTACATCCGCACCAGCCGTGGCGGTCGTATGCCAGAAATCATATTTAAAATGTAATGCCACAAGATTATCTTTCGGATAAATAAAATTCATGTCAATCGAATAATCCATCGTTGTTTTATTGCAACTTAAAGTGCTATACATCGAAATAAAAACACCCCTTATTAGTTGTATGGACCCATAAATGCTTTTTCCAACGAGACCATTTTTGTTAAAATCTGTTTTTGGAGCTTCAGCTTCAGCTATTTACTTAACAAAAAACACTAATCACCTGCTCACTCCTTTATCTTAATAAATGTTAACCAAAAAACATTCCAATTAGCTTAACATAGACAGAATATATATTTTATTGGTATGTGTACTAAGTGAATATTTTCCACGATATTCCTTTGAGGATAATACTTTACATTTGCACACTTATTTCGCCACCCAGCACATATGGAATTCCGTTTCAGCGGTACGAATTCCAAATAATTTTCCTATTAAATTAAATTTTAGCAAGGGTAACAGTGAATTGAAGTGAACTTATTTATATAGATTTTCCAGTGCCGACAATCTTCTTTATAATTTTTCACATCCAAAGAGTTAAACGTGACATTACCTAAAATGTCTTTAGATTTACTAATCGAAATCCATTAAGGAAGTCGAAACGTGAAACCATTCAGTATTCAACAAACCTTATTAATTAAATTCTTCAAATTAATTACAGAGACAAGGATGTATCCACGGCGAAGAACTACCCTACTTATTTGGAGCGCCCCTTGTCGGAGGATTCATGCATTTCGGGAGGAATTACACCAAATCGGAAGTGATTCTCTCGGAAATTACGATGATCTACTGGAGTAATTTCGCGAGGACAGGGTAGGTATTAATCGGTTCGTCGAATCAAAATAAACGTTTTTCTGTGCCTGAAAAATTTGATTTTGATTATCATTGACCTGACTATTATCACTTTTTTTTCTAAAAAGAATAAAGGGTGCAAAAAAAAGGTTCATACAGTTTAAAAATAATGCTAAGTTAATCTTCTGTCGACTTCAATCAACATAGTCTTTAAAGTAAAAAAGAAATACATCTCTATACATTTTCTGTATATATAAAAACCAATGTAAATCATACGACTTTAAAACAATATCGTCTTTCTGCCGATTACCGTTTAGTATCGTTAAATAACATTATTTAATGTAGTAATCTTAAACATCAAATTTCTGGTTTTTAAAGTCAAAAATAATTATTGGCAATCGTTAAACCGTTTTTGATTCTGAAAATTCATAATATATATTATAACAAAAATAAGTCAAAGTAATTTTTTAAAATGAATGATATATATAACAAAATATACGACATGTATAAGCGCTCAGTTGATATATTTCTTGACAAGCAATTAACTTAATTTAAAGGTTTTAAAATTTCAATTGTTCAAAAAAATGGTAAAATTAATAAACATTTTATTGAAAATGTTTTTTATATATAAGCAAGAGTCATTCGTTTCTATCAAATATTTACAAGTAACTTCCTGTAAATATTCGAAAATCAGTAGAAATGATTCAAAGAACATTAATCAGTTATACAAATATAAATTACAATCTTTCTGAAAGTAACTGGAAGTAACAGGCTGTAGCATAACGAAATATGGTTTATTACTTCTGAAAATATGACTTCTTGATTTTACATGTCTAAAGTTTCGTATTTTATAGACTTCAGCTGCTTATCGCAATATGTAGACATCGAAGACATTATAATAATTTTTCTACGAGAAAAAATATCTTTATTTCTATCAAACGCTAAGTTTTAAGTAATTGACGTAAAACATTCTGTGGTCAAAAGTTATTTGGTAAGTGGTCAATAGACAAATAGAATGCACAATGCAAACCAAACGGTTGCCAAGAGCGTTTATCTGCCACTGGTATTCAGCTCAGCAATGTGCTGTTTGTCTTACAAACAATATTGTGTCTGCGCCTATGCTATAACTATTTGAGGGAATATTTGAGTACGATATCAGCATTTACCTTTAACTTAGGGCTTAAATCGTTGTTTTTCTAATTTCCTAAATTCATACACGTAGAAATACTGAACTACTGAATCTTTTAAAACATTAAAGCATTGAAAAAATGATTTTATTATTTTATTGATTCAAGAATAGTATTATTATCGGTGATGGCAAAAAGAATGCAAATAAGTAAACTTTTATTTTCCCGACAATTTTTTCCATAAAAAGCTAGTACATTTGTGTTCATGATCGCCAAAGCATTTATATTCTTCTGGCATATTTTCTCTCAAATTTTTGGTAACTCCATGCAGGCTGTTCGGAAAAAATTGAAAATTACTAAAACCCTAAAGGACGTTGCTTGATTTTTTTTAATAACATTACAGAATATTAATTTGTTTCATCCAGAATAGGCAGCTATCAATAGTAACTCCTAAAAAGCGTAAAATATATGTTCTCCTGTCACTTGAAAATCTCCATCCAATTTAGCAAAGTTCTTATTCAGTTCAAGACAAAAGAGATGACCGTAAAAAATCACCCATTCCCATCTTCTAATGTTCACTTCTAAGAACGGATCGAGCATAACGAGAGTTTCGGTTAACCTAATGGAAACTAATTTAGCAAAACGAAATTCGTAAACTTCTAGAAATTCCCTAGTTTGAATATTAAGTTCGCCGTGTGGAAAACAAGCGATGCTTCATTTATCATCATCTACAGGAGCCACGAGGAAATAAGTCATTCAAAATCATTTGTTTTCTTTACTGCGTAAGTTCATGGGAAAACTAGTTTTCGTTCTCTGCTGCCATGATTTAGATAAATCGTTGATGATTAATTTGCAGATCATAACATTGTTTCGGGTTTTTCATTTTTCCGAGAACCTCCACGATTGCATGTATCGTTCGGCACTATTGGGGAAAAGCTTATTTAAGGTTTTTCCATTCGTTGGAAAGTATAATTAGTCATTTATTCCTAGGGTTTATTTTAAAATATGAAAAATAAGTGGAGTTGGTTGGATTAAAGGTAATACAGAGGTCTGAAATACAATAAATTGGTCATATCTAAAAGGGTATATGATTCAAGTTCAAAATGTGAAGGACATATACACCCACACTTTACACGAGGGCCGACCACGGAGCAAATTAGATTGCGTGCGAGGCAACCCACACAGGGCAGCATACGTCACGTTTTTTTATCATGCAGAAAAGAGTGTGTCAATGAATTACTAGTCAAGCGATAACTGTGTCAAAAGAAATAAATGATTTTGAAATTTAGAGATATATAAATAATGTATGACTCCATTTTGACAAATAAAACAATTGAATAGCACTTCCACTTTTGGCTTATTTTATAATTCCAAGTCGGAAAAAACACATTTTAATCAACAAATTGACAGAGTATTTTTTATAGAAAACCATTTGATAAAAGTGAAAAAAACTTTCACTGAAGTACACTGAAAATTAGGGTGTGTGCTAGTTTCCCGCAAGAACTACCAATACTAACCCCTGTAAAAGTCTCATTTTTAATATTCTGTATTCAATTTAGAATAATTTTTATAATAAACCGTTTCTCCAATTGTAAAATTTAAAAATCAAACTAAATTTAAACCATGGGCATGCAGTGGAAAATACTTATTTAAAAGACACCCGTGAAAATGACAGTATGTGCAGGGTTATTCATTACATTTTGACACCCACCTACAGGGTTAGTGGCGCACCTCCACATAAGGTCCAACCGGTTACCCATTATCTAAATAATAAATATAGACTTAGGAACTATCAAATGGCCTGCCAATAGCCCCGACCTTAATCCTTGTTAAATTTTTTGTGGGGATACTTATATAAATAAAATATATTATAATATGCCTGAAAGTTCACAAGTATAAAAGAAAGACTTGATATCGTCTTACAAGATCTAAACAGAGAAAACCCTGATTTTATCACCTCGTGTATAATTAGGAAATTGAAACGCAATATTGGACAAAATAATGGAGTTTATGTGGAAATGTTTAGCATTAATTATTGATATTTTTATTGTTTGAATAATATAATTCTATTATTTGGCGTTTTTTTTCCTCAGATCCTTAATTTTGAAAATTTTAAAAGGAGAACAATGTTAAAACAATTGCAAACATAGATAATATGGTTGCTATCAATACAATCTTGTTCATTTTTAAACAATATGCCTATTGTCCAGAAATCGAATGATAATTATTTTTAAACTGAAATATCTTAAAAACAGCTAAATGAAATGTCAAAAAACTATATGTTTTTGATTCTGCGATTTAAACAAATAATATAAAGTTTTAAAAAAATCATGTTGCTATCATTTTGACAGCTTGCGATCGTCGTTTGTTTTTTCTGACATTTGCATAAGATAATGGAACAAAAATCTTTTTTATTTACACTTTTTTCTCTCTTTCAAAATTAACCCTGTAGGTAGATGTCAAAATATAATGAATAGCCCTTAATAAATAATAACTGTTTTCGAATAAAAAACAAACGAAACCAACATTGACAGTAACAAATAATAAAATAAAAATAATTACACCTTTGTAGGCATATAACAATTTTAGTCAAACACATTCAACTGACATTTTTAATATGTATTTTGAAGAAACAATAATTACTACATAGGCACTAGCTAATAACAAATAATACAATAAAATAAATAATATAAAATAAATCTGGCAAAATACTTTCCATTGGCATTTAAACACAAAAAATGCATTCTTCGAATTAGCGCAAACAATGTTTCATTTTTATTAGACTTACTTAGGTAATCTGACAGGGCATCTTACCGGACCACTAATGCCTATCCAGTTCTTGCCTAGGTTTTCATATAGATATCTAGAAAATTTCCTGGTATTATGAGTGGAAGCGGCATCTTGTTGAAAATAAAAATTGCGTATTTTATCAAGAGGTAATTTTTCAACAAAACAACATTTTCTTGGATTAATTCCAGAAAGATTTGGGAGTTTAATGGCTCTTGCAATCGATCGCCTAAATTTCTAGTAGAATTATGTCTGTCGAACATGCCAAAATTCGTAAAGCAACATTCATCCGAAAAAATTATTGAACTTTTGAAATTGGGAATGATGGCCGATTTTTACCAGTTACAAAAGTACATTTTACTACGAAAGTCACCTTCAATCAGATGTTCAGATATAAAGCATTCAACGGCCATGTTGGTAATTCAATGCGTTACGATCACTGGTAAAAACAAGATTTTAAATCCCGCGCATGCGCATGCTCATTGGACCTTCTTAATTTTTATTTTTTCATAGTTGCTTCATAAGTTTCTACATTATCGGCATAGGCAGAGCCTTTCTATATCACCAGTAACTATATAAATTTAAACATATATCTCAAAAACTATTCCAGATACATAACGCTCTGTTATAGAAATTATTCTAAATTAAACACAAAATAATAAAATTGGACCTTTTAGGGAGATTTTCATTGAAAGTTTTTGCAATTATTAGATCTACCGAAAAAGGATAAAGAACATTTCGTACTTCAATTTATATATATATATATATATATATATATATATATATATATATATATATATATATATATATATATATATATATATACATAAACGAAATTACAAAGAACCTTACCAAAAAGAAACAAACACAAAATTGAAGAGGTACCATCATATGGTAGTTCTATACTTTAAAAGCATTTGGTTTTGTTATACTGCCTAGAAATATTATTAATGTTTTGGTATATATATATATATATATATATATATATATATATATATATATATATATATATATATATATATATATATATATATATATATCGCTTGACTGTCACCCGGCGTAATTTAGCGACTACGCGAATATATACACGGACTTCTACTGTAGAGT